CTACAGTAGTGGGTTAGTCCACTGTAGCACTGCAAGTTAACTTGCCACACTCTATCTCTATTTGCTGAATGCTAAGCAGAGAAGCCGTGTGTACCATTTTTCAAGTCTTTGGTATGACCCGGCCGGGAGTTGAACCCCCGACCCTCTCCACATACGAGGCGAGCACTCAACCATTGAGCCATCGCAGTGGTACTATAGTATATACTAGCTGCGGGTAACCGCTGCACTGGGTAAATCGTGCTACTAATTCATACTACTAATTCATACTACTAATAATGGGACACAATAGGAACATTGGGTAAAAATCGACAATAACATTGCACACAATATCAATTTTTACAAATCAGTCTAATAAGATAAGCATGAGAAAAAAACTGTTACGTATGACATTTATATGACAGTAAAACCCAACTTAGAACCCCTGGGACATAATAATAATAAGGTGTAAATGACAAAAAGTTATTATAACAGCATGTACGAATGGGTTGCACTTTTAATTTCAAAGCCTCTTGATAAACAATGTTTTTCGTCTTATTCTCTGGTGCAAATATGTAGAGATTCCTGGCGTCTCCAACTCTTGAGCTCCCCACGTACAGCTATCCATTGTCAGATCGTACCATGAATAAAAGAAATTCCATATATAGTATAGATAGTGACAGGCCAGCGAGTGGGGTCCGTGTCCACTGGATATTGTCTAGTGAATGCTTGGCGCGCAACCATGCATGCACATTGAAATTAAGAAATTTCCCTACTGAATCAGAAAATGCATAGCTTTCGAATGGCACAATGCATTCTGAGATCGTAGCAACTCAACTGAACCGCTCAACTCAGTGAGTAGTACCTCTGAACTGGTCCTATCGACTGGCGTGCTTCAAAAAAGGGCGTTCCATATGGGAGCATAGCAGTAACAACTACACCCAATTTCGAACATGTGGGTCAAACGGTTCCTGAGTTATCGTTGACCGAAACCAAATGTTGACGGACGGACGGACGGACGACGACCCATGGCAATAGCTCAGCTTGACGATGTCAAGGTGAGCTAAAAACAGAGGAAATTGTTTGTTTGTTAATTACTCCCCGGCGAATTTAATAATCAAAAACGTGTACGTAATATATATATATATAATGTAGTTTTACCTGTTATATATTTAGCGTATAAAAAAAAAAAATCATATCTAGGTAGATATGTCATCGGCCAAAAATTATTAATCGAAGAGAATAATGCAATTGCATTGCAGCTATGCATGTAATCTATTTATTGGCTGTGCCTACAGCTATTGAAAAGTCACGTCTTATGAGATTTAAACAGCTCTCAAATACTCACAAGTGGACAACACGTTCAATCACTGCACCTTTGGTATTTAATAAAGACGTATGATTGTTTTGTCCGTGTCATAAATGTGCAGGTAACAAACGTTAATATCAATCAATGTCATATGTCTTTGATCTTTGCTCATCAAAGGTTATGTGCTCACGACCTTTGAGACATCCTATGTATAAAAACTTTATAAATACTTAAGTAACTGTTTGGACACTCACGTGTTCATGTTCAAACTACTGCAAGACGCATAGTAAATTTTCGCCTAGTAAATTTCCACATCTACAGGTTACGAGAAACATTTTGACAGTTGAGACACACACATTATACAAGACACAACAACAGATTCTATCTTATAAAAATGTTCCTAACGCGGATTTGCCAAACCGTTGCGTGAAGTAATAGCCAGCACGAGGAATTCCGATCGTGTGCTATTAACTGCCATGAGCATGTTATTCAGTCACATTTTCATTAAAAATCCCAAAACAGCTGCGTTTGAAGTGTGAATGGTGTTATTCTCTATTATCTCATAGACTGACATGACATGATGACATGGTACAACTACAATCTATAAAACCTTCAATTAAGCCTTCCCTAACATAAGCACACCGCACCGCACCACACCACAGCACAACACAGCACAACACGCCGCACTACACCACACCACACCAAACACAACACCACACCACATCACACTACACCACATCACACCACACCACACCACACCACACCACACCACACCACACCACACCACACCACACCACACCACATTAACCACATGTTACCACGCCACGCCGCGCCACGCCACTCCACACCACACAACACCACATGTCACCACACTAAATTACACCACACCATATAACATCTCATCACAGTACAAGACACCCTACTATGCCACACTACAATATTGACACGCCAACCACTTCATGATCACACCAAGGTTGACCACATCGCTATGGAGCCTCATAAGGTCCATGTCTCCCTGGGTACTGAAGGACACTGCGGCTGCTGTTGTTGTTGCTGCTACTAGTACTAATGCTGATACTAACTGCTAACCCTATCTAATCTGCGTCACTGTGTTATGAAGCTCACCCCATGTTGGCATTTTCATTCTTCCAGTCGTTTGCCGGATGCATGCGCGATTTATCGAATAAAAGTGCGTCCCTTTATTCCCACGTACTGCGTAACATCGCTTTCTTTCCGTTTACCTGCGACAAATAGTACAGCTGACGGTTAGTATATAGTAAACGGTGTGGAATTTTAATATAAT